CAGGGATTAGAAACCCTGGTGGTCAGAGATGTTGGGCCTTCAGGAAGAGCCTCTGCCCTGGGAAGAACCAGGGCTACCCTCTCCCCTCTCAGGAGTACAGCTCAGCTCACTTCAGAGCCCATTCCCAGGAGCCCAGCTCTGGCTCCTGCTGTCACTCCCAGCCCAGGAAGTCCCATTCCTGCCGCCCCCAGCTCCCAGGAAGGCCGGGAGAGGCGGGGCAGGCTGGGAGCCACAGGTTCGGAAAGAGTCCGGGGTGGGGGAATTCGGCAACTGGGCTGTAACCGTCTTGTTTTGCTTGCCCCACAAACCTGCCGGGCATCCGCTGCACCCGTCGGGGCGTTCAGGTTATAGAACTGCTCTCAGAATGACAGGCTGGTGGCACCCGGTTGGGGCAGGGGGTGGGGGTGGGGTGAAGGGGGGAGCCCCAGGCAGGGGGGGAGCTGGAGGGTTAAAAATAGCAGCAGCCGGGTTTCGGTTAGCAAATGTGGAGGCGGGGAGCTGGAGGCGGGGCAGGAGGCAGGCAGTGTTTGCCCGCCGCACAGGGCTGTGTTTCCCCTGGATCCCAGGAGTGAGTCACGGTGGAGACGCTGATGAGGTGCTGGCACAGCACCCCCCTCCCCCACCCCCACCGGGCGAGGGGCTGAGTGCAGGCTGCATCTCCTTGGTGCGAGGGACGTGCTTCTCTCTTCCAGACCGGCCGGGCCGTCTGGAGAGCGGGATTGTCTGATCTAGGGGCAAGAAGTGTACCATTCTGAGGCCAAAGACCTGGGTTTAATTCCAGATGCTGTGGAACCTTGTGCAAGGCTGTGAAGGCCCCTAAGCCTTCACTTCCTAGTCTTCCAAGTGGGAATTTTCTCAGATGCACATGTAAACACTTGGTGGATTCTAAAGCCCCCCACAGATGTGAATTCTCACCTGGGACCCTCCTGTGCCCATTGCAAAGCCCGGCAGAAGAGCCTTCCAGTAAGGGCGCAGAGGGAGCAATGGGATGACCTTGACAGAGTCCCTATTTTTCCTGCAAACAGCTAAGTGTAACCTTGGGCAGGCACTTGGCTCTCTGTGCCTCAGTTTCTCCATCTCTGTAATGTGAAGGTTAGTAATGGTTTCGACCTCATGGAGTTGTTATGAAGATTAAGATAAATATTGTTAGTGCCATGCCTGGTATGAAGCCAGTGCACACAGAATATTCATCATTATTATTAATGTTATTGTTCATATTTTTGAAGGTCAGGGATAGGGAATGTTAAAGACATGAAGAACAGAAACTGGGCCCAGCCCCAGTTCACAGAAAAAACCAGGCCAAATTCACTCTTCCAGATTCCTCCACCCATAAGGGCCTGGGGTAGCAGGAGTCTATAGCCAGAAGTCACAGGGTGGACCCCTTCTTCTCTCTTTCACTCCACTGCCCCGAGGCTCCCCCAGTGAGGCAGGATGCCAGAGGACCCAAGGGTCTCGTCGCCAGCTGGCACTGGGAAGGGTCTGGGATGGGACCGCCCTGATGGCCCTGATGTGGAATACCTTGGCCGCGTCTGCTGGAGTGACCTTTATTTTAGCCCCTCCCTGGCAGCTCTTAAGACGAACATGAGGCAGGGGAGGGGTGGGAAGGTCAGTGATGTCAGCAGTGAGTATTCCCAGCACTGTGGCCCTGGAAGAGGCAGGAGGCATTTCTTTCAGGAAATGATCATTATTCAGCCTACAGGCATTCATTAAGTAAGTCCTGACTTGGTGCCCAGCCCTGTGCTGGGCCTTCTGTGTGATTCAGGAGAGGCAGGGGATGCTAAGCTGTAAATAATGCAGAACCTCAGCGATCACAGGGTCCGAGAATACACTGCGTCGAGTCCATGAAAGCCTGCTGTCCTGGTTCTCATGGGAAGCAGAAGTTGAACCTTGACTTTGCTCCCCATTGGCTGTGACATCTTTATACTTGGGTGTGTACCTGTACATATACATTCGGTTTTATTATTATAGAGGCAGTTCTTGTGCATCGCAGGTGGTCAAAAAATACAGACAAGCAAAAATTTTTAAACTGAAAAACATCCCAGTCCCAGCAGTCAGAGACCACTGCCACAATACCTCTTCATACCTCCCTGTTTCCTGATGTGCCTTTATATGTCATATTTTCTATGAAAATGAGATTATGCTGCATATGCCGGTTTTTCAGTCTGTGATCTCCACCTCCCACTACAGTGAATTTTCATCGCACCAAATTCCCAGTTGGCCAGAAATTGTCCTTCACAGCTGGTCTGTCCAAATCAGTACTCAGGACCATGCATCTGGCTATGGAGTTCCCTGAAGGCTGTGTAAAGCACCCTGGCTGGATTTGTGATCGGGAAAAACCCCGGCCGACCAAATCCCAAGGGCAGCCCTGGCCGCAGAAGGGAATCATGTCATTGGGAGAATCATGGCCCGATAGACCTGTGCCATCTTCCCAAAATAACAGGCAAAACTGGGATGGAGATCTCTGGGTACTCAACTGTCATTAATATTAACGTGGGATCCCTATGAGTGCCAGCATTCATAGCTTATCACTATTCATGGGCTCCTATCCGTGATGCCCCCAGGCCATGGAGCAGGCCAGGGGCTCCACAGTGGCCCCTGCTTTCCCCTGCCCCAGGTCCAATGGTACCGATGGACTTCCGCCCTGTTCCTAGTCCCCAGGAGTCTGCCCTGAAGGTGGGTGCTCTGTTCCAGCACTGGTGGGTGCCTCCATGTCTGCTCCCTGCCCACCGCCCTGCCTGTGTATGAGGCCTGAGGGAGAGAGGGAGAGAGAGAAAAAAGAGAGAGCTTTTCCTCCCAAGGGAATTCACTCCCACGTAGCCACTCCACGGGTGACTTGCTCTGGCTTTGCAACCTGCCTTTTATACAGCCCTCGACGGCTTCCAGAGCGCCTTCACACAGCGTTTGACCCTGCATGGCAGCCCTAGGAGGTTTGCTTGTTTGGTTGTATCCTGTCGGAGGCTGCTTACAGGAAACAATAAAATAGTAACGTGTACATTTAAAAAAAAAAAAAAAAACAGGGAAAACACAAGATGAAAAAGGAACTGAAGATACGGTTGGGAGTGCCTCCTGGAAACAAAAGGCATGTGAAGGGCACAGGACAGGCAGAGATGATTATCTCTGTTTTTATTTTTGTTGCCGTTGATGTTTTCTGGGTGGAATACTAGCACGCTGTGGGAACGCGCTGCCCCTGGGAGTCACGCCCAGGCCTTCAGATGCTGCGACCCACTGTGTCCTGTGGCCCCTCGGTGGCCGCCCCTCACCACCTGGGGACGTGGTGGACCTGTGTGCCCGTGTAATGGTTACAAGCTTAGGCCCTAGAGCCCCAGAAACCCACTTACGTGAGCTGTGTGGCCTCTGCAAGTTTCTTAAAAACGCCACGCCTCAGTTTCTTCCTTTGTGAAAGGAGGTTGCTAAGGGTACCTACCATACAGGGTTTTTGTGAGGACCAAATGAGATAGTATGAGTAAGGTGCTTAGCATGGTGACGAGCACACAGCAGGCATTTGGTACACGGTTGTGGGTCATCACTGGCCTTACTCGTTAATAATTATAATTAGAAAATAAGTAGTGATCTTAATCTTATTAATCTTACAACTTCAACCTCCCCCTGGCAGTCTCTGGAGTGGGCTGAGTGGCCTCCTGGGTGGCATAGGTGGGCGGAGCCAAGGAAGACGCATCTCCTGGCTCATGTGCAGTTGGGCAGAGGCAGAAGCGGGGGCCAAGCAGGAGTGGGGGACACACGAGGCCGGATCTGGCCAAGGAAGGCCCAGAAACGGCGGGAACAACAAGGAGGGCAAGGGAACGCATATGAGGGAGAAGGAGCGGCTCCGAGAGGCAGCCCCAGGGCGGTGACCGTGCTTCCTGTTGGGGCAAGCGCTGGCCCTTGAGAAAGACTGTCTGGGGCTGGCTGCTAGGAGGGAGCAGCTGGTCTAAGTGGGGCGGCAGGGGCTGGGGGAGGGGACAGACAAAGGCAGAAACTGACAGAACCTCCACTCCTCTCCCCACATTACAGATGGGGCCCCCATCTTGACTGCTCAGGATGTTTTGCTTACGATAGGAAAGATGGTGGTTAGATACCATGGTGAACCTCGTATCTCAGGGATTGGAGCTGCTGGAGCAGGGGAGTGAGGGTAAGTGGGAACTTGGTCTTTGAGGGCTTTCAGGACCTAAGAAACCCTAAGGCAGTCTGACCAGGGGGCTGAGACTCCCGGAGCCCGTCAGCTCAGGAATTCCCTAGGTGCTGGGGGCAGGCCTGGCTGTAAGGAGAAGCCTATGGGTGACCGGAAGTGAATGCAGGCCCTCAGAGTCCAGCCACTCTGAGCGAATAGCTCTGCCCCCACCTTTGCACCTTTACCCAGGACAGGCAGGGGAGACTGAGTGGTGGTCTGGGAGGCTCCCGGAGGTGGGCAGGGCTCGGAGGGGCCCCTGGTTCTCTTTGCCAGAGGACGGCGAGGCTCCCCAGAGAGTGCCCGTCTCGGGACAGCTGCACACAACTTGGATGGCGCAGCTCCCCCGGCCTCAGCGTCCAGTGGGTCTCCAGCTAGGAGGAGAGGCCACAGGGTGGAATAGAGGACCTGGGCTGGGGGTGGGGGGCAAGGAGCCAGGAAGGACGCTTTCCCACCCCCAGGGAGCTCGAGCTGCCGCTGCCATGGTTACGTCTGCTTCCTGTTTGATTCATCTCAAACAGCAGAAGGGGGGGGGTACCGGCTCCCAGCTCGGGCCACCGCTGCGTGGGGCTGTTTACAACAGCCGCATGTGGGATTCCCAGAAAGAGACTCCAAACCGGACATCCTGCGGCTGCAAAATACCCAGGTGTCAAGAGCTAAAAATAGCTGCCCCAGGGCCCCAGGCGAGGGGAAAGGGGCACGCTCACCGCGGGGGTGGAGGGCCGGCCTGTGGCCTGACATCCAGCCTCCTGCGTGGCTCACAGCTGCCGAGCCACAGGGCCTCGATCCCCTTGCCGGGGGGCTGACAGGGGGCCTCTGTCTGAGCAGGCCTCGGCCCAGGCCACTCACCTGTGAGCCCGCCCGCCCCCCCCCTCCCCCCTCCAGCCCCTCTGCCTGCCCAGCAGAGCTTGCTCTGGGATGCTCATGAGAGCCTCAGAGGGAGTTGGGAGCTCCTAGAGAAAGGGTGTAGCCGGCAGTGGAGAGCAGGGAAGATGAAGCCGATGCTCTTCAAAGACCCCAGTCTGTCACCCCTCCTCGTTCCCACATGCAGTCCGAAATCAGTGCTTGGAATCTTTGAAGTCAGCGGTTGCCGTCTATAAGTGGTTCTTCAGGATTGTCTTCACGGGGGCCCCAGAGAGGAAACAGGCTGCTTTTGCTCCCTAACCTCCCACAGGGCTGGGGTGTGCCGCGGGTACTGGTCTCTGTGGCGCTGTGTGATTCTTCTGTCTTTCCCTGGGCCCAGTAAGTCCCGCATTTGCTCCCTACCTGCCAGCCTGCGGCCTGCGGGAGCGGAAGTGTTGGAGAGAGCCCTGGAGGGTATTGGTTGACAACACGGATTCTGGAGCCCAAATGCCTGGCTCAAGTCCCAGTGGCACCACTTACATGTGATGTGACTTCAGACGAGTTCTTTAATACTGCTGGGCCTCAGTCTACTGCCTCGTGTAATGGGGATAAAAACAGTAACCACCTCATACCTTTTGTCTTGTCTTGTCGTGAGCCTTAGATGAATTAGCAAATGTAAGGCTTAGAACAACTATCACACGGTGAAGCATGTGTTTACAAAAGTTCAGATGGAAGAGAAAAGGAGGGGAGTGTGGTGGCGGGAGGCAGGGTGTAGGAAATGAGGCAAGGAATGCAACGGGGAGAAAATGGACTGTGGTAGAACTAAGAGCAGAGGGTGCCACTGGGACCAGATGCTGAAATGCTTATGCTGGGAGGGAGGCAGCAGGCAAGTTCAGGGACAAATGGTATTAATCATGACCCCTAACCACATGCTAGGTGCTTCATACACAGTGTTGCTAATCTCAGATGGCCACTTCCAAGTAGATGCGGTATTCTTTTTTTTTTTTTTAATGTTTATTTATTTTTGAGAGAGAGATAGAGCAAACAGGGGAGGGGCAGAAAGAGAGGGACAGAGGATCTGAAGCAGGCTTCATGCAGACAGCAGAGCCTGATATGGGACTCAGGACTCTGAGCTCTCGAACTACAAGATCATGACCTGCCCTGAAGGACGCTTAATGGACTGAGCCACCCAGATGCCCACCCCCCCCAAGTAGATATTCTTATTACCGTTACCGATGGGGCGGCCAAGGCTTGACAGCTTACCTTGTGTCCCTGGCTCTCCCTGCATGTCACTGAGGGACCAGACTTTGAACCCACGTCCATCTGACCTCAAAGCCAATGTCCTCTGTGCTGTGGACCCTCACGTTCCTCACTTTATGTGGCAGGAGTTTCTAGCCAGTGTGCAGCCCCCTGGGTTCTGGATAAACCTGAGCAGTAAGCAGCTTCATGCCAAGATAATGAGCAATAGAATTAATAATGAACAAAAGAATTTCTGGAAGGTGGGGGAGAGAGAAGCTGTTCAAAAGGGTTGACTTTAAGGGAGTTCTGGGGAGTTGGATGACTCAGAATGTTCTTGTCTTTTACCTTTGGAGACTCTGAACATTTTTAGTATCGGCAAGTAGTCTACTTTTAAATTTTTAAAAAACTGTGGGCTGCATTTTAAACTCCTTGAAAGTGAGAACCAGGTTTCATTCATGTTTCCATCTCTTCAACCCCTGGAGCAGTGACTCACATGAAAGTACTTCATGCCTGCATTTGGGATTGACTTCTTGAGTTTCCCCTGCCCTGGTCTGGCCTGGCTGTACCGCTCACCTTCTGGGTGACCGTGACCTAGCCCCTTCCCCTCTCTCTTTCCAACTCTGTGAAGTGAGAGGGTTGGCCTGAATAATCTCCGAAGCCCCATCGGCTCCTAATGTTCTCAGGTTCTGTGACCTGAATGCCTTCGAGAGGCGCTTCTCCTTCGTGCTCAGCCCTCACTCTGTGTCAGAAGGGCCTGGCAACCATGATGTTCTTTCTCATGTTTATTTATTCTTGGATCTTCCTGAAGCCGTTTCACCCCCAGCTTTCATCTTCTCTGCCAGCCCCCATGCAGAGTCTAGCTTTGTCCAGCTTGTGTCAGGGAAACAGAACCAGAACAGTAATGTGGGGTGTGGAGGGAGCCAGCCCTGAACCCAGGACCTGGCCTCCTGCCACTTCCTGCTTTCCTCTTGCCTCCTGGGGCCCAGGCCTTCCTGCGACTCCTATTCAGCTAGTCGGGAGATCTGGAAGGTGGGGACGGCCTCACAAAAGACATCAGAGGTGTTGGCAGGGGGCTTCTGGGTGGCAGTGCTCGGGAAGCCCTCTTCCTGACAAAGGGCCTAAAACACCTGGGAGAGCAGGTAAGCAGGCAGGGCTCAGGTTTCCAGCCACCTTGTGCATGCCCTGGGGCACGGTCACATCTGTGGGGCAGGTGAGGCCCAGGCCAACCAGATAGGAGTGGGAGACCAGCTGGCACAGGTGCTCAGGGGACAGAAGAGTGGCCCTGTGTCTGCTCTGGGGGCTGCAGAGCACCGGGATAGACCAGGATTTGGGGGCCCCTTTGGTCAGGTGATCTGGTTTGGGAAGGTAGGCTCGGGTGCTCATTGCCAAGTAACCTGCCTCTCCAGTCTGATGGCAGCTGCTTCCAAAGAAGGGAGAAATGGGGTGGGGAGGGCAGCCAGGATTCCAAAAATCAGAGCTTTCCACCCTGACTGGGAGCTGTGTGGAACAGGGTCCAGGCCTAGGCAGTGTTCTCAGTCCCTTGGGTCCATTCAGTCCTGATTTTATTTGTCTGGCCCCAGATTGGTGGTAATAGCACCCTGAGAGGGGACAAGGAGAAAAAGCATCCCCCAAATCATTGCTAAGCCTGGGCCATAGGATGTACACCTTTTGGTTTTTAATTCAGTCGTTTGCTGGGTGCTCTTAGATGCCATTCCTCTCTCTGGAACACGGGAGAGCTGCTCCACAGGTCTTATCTCTGTTGCTTTGGGCTCTTCTGCACTCATCGGCCGTCAACACAGAATCAGGGAGTTGGGGGAGAAACGGAACTTTTTCCAGGAATTGCTTTTGGAAGCAGCCGCTGTTGGCAACACACGCACACACATGCGTGCATGCTCCCAGCTTTTCTGAACAGAGTTTATATCATAGATCATCATCACAAAACATCCCTTTTGGGCCCGGTAACAAACACTACAGAGTTCAGGCCCATTAGTTTTTCTTCTATCCAGAGAGTGCATGGTGTCCCGAATCCACGGTTACCAGGGGAGCAAGGCTTGGCCCTGCTCCCAAGCGTGATTGCCACTGACCAGCCCTCAGGCAGGGACTGAGAGGAGGTAGGAGAGAATTCCCACTGGGAAGGGCTGGAGGCATAGGACTCTAAGCCAGGCACAGCCTATGGGAACACACCCACGAGCCCAGTTTAGAAAACTCTCTTGGGGAATCAGGTCCTGCAGAAGAAAAGAAGAGGTCCTAAGAGAGCCTAGGGTGGGGGTTACCATGTTCTGGGGATGGGCTGCTTCCTCCCACACCAGTGTTCCTTGGGGCTCACAAACCTTGAGAAATACCCATGCCACGTCCTAGGCAGGGGGCCGGGGAAGCCATTGCTGTTGAGTCACTCATTCCTACCAGAGCCTGTCATGCGCCCAGCAAGGTGTTAGGTGCAGACTGGCGTGGCTTCCGAATGGCAGCGTGGAGACCGTGATTCGTAGACTCAGTTGAGGTAGTGGACACAGAGTGGGTGCTCTGGGAAGGGAGCAGGAGGGAGGTCAGGGTGAATTTTGTGAGGAGGCCCATTGACTTGTGCTATGCAGACTTTGGGTAGGTGGACTGGCCATTCCCTACCACCTGGAGCATGGGACACTAGGGTTTGAGGGCAGTGATGGGAGGCTCCCTGTGCCTAGAGTTCTCCCTTCCCCCAGCGGTGCCTGCCTACAGGGAGTTCTCCTTTTTTCAGCCTCTGGAAGAGGAACTATGACTGCCCCTTAAACACAGACCCAAAAGAGCAGCACCCACCAGTTGCTATTCAGAAAATATCCCTTCTGCCCTGCATCTGGCCTGAGGAGGTCTTCTGTGTGTCCGTCAGGTGTGGCCTTCCGGTCTCCTAGACTCCTGTCCCCTTGGCCCTGAGCTGGGATAGCAGAAGGGAAAGGTGTCCGTCTTGGACAGGGGACCTCGGATCTGAACTCTGTCTTTGCCTACCCCAGTAGGCCTCTGGGCTCCTCAGGGCCTCCTGCCACGGAGCTTCATGGGTTCTGAATGGGACAGGGGGGCTCTGGGCTGGGCTTATGAGCCTGGGAGAGGTGACTATTCCCAAAAGAAAAGACTTCTGTTTCAGAAGTCCAAAAAGAAAAAACTGAGAGCTTCTTTTCTCTGGGGGAACAGAGGCTGCAAGACACAGGACAGGGCCTATGCGTTCCAGACGCACCAGTTCACAGCTCCCACCATTTCTGACTTGATCTTCAGGCCATGACCCCGTCCCTCCCCGACTGTGGAAGCCTCCCCATTTCCACCTGCTCCCATCTGCTCCCACCTGGGAGGCCTCTGAGCAGCCCCCAGCTACCCTTCTCTGGGCCAGCTTCTCCCCATCTCCCACCTGCCAGCCTCAGCAGCCGTGCCCTCCCACCTCTGGCCACCTCCCCTTCCAGTCCTCTTTCCCTCAGGGTTGTGGGAGCCTGGGCCCTAGGAGGATGGTGTCTGAGCACATCCAGGAGGTCTGAGGGCACTGTTGGGGGAACTCGGGCCTCCTTGGGCCTGCTGTGGACCGGGCTCCAGCAGGCTGAGATGTTTGAGTCACTGGGTGAGTTGAATGAGGAAGGGAGGGCTGTCGAGTGCTCTCATTCTGCACAGGGAAGTCGAGGAAAGGAATGGGATGGAGTCCTTGCTTTTTGGTTAGTTCCTGGTGCAGGTGCCAGTTTGGGAGCGCCCAAGCTGGAGCGGGACCTCCTGTAGTGGCAGGGAGCCTGCATGGCCTGGCCCGCTCATCCCTTCCCCACCCCTCCCCTGCAGCCCCTTCATGCCCTTTCTCTTCTCTCTACAGATGGGACCCAGGTGAGCCCGGGTGCCCACTGCCCCAGTCCCCCTGGCACAGGTAAGAGTCAGGCCCGAGGGAGCCCGTGGTGGGGAGTGAGGATGGAAGGGGCACAAGAAGGGCGAGGAGCTGAAGGGGAGAGAAGCAGGGTAGCTGGCTGATGGGCCAGCGGTTTGGGAGGTTGGGGTTCTGAGGGTGGGGGTGAAGTTGGCGTAGGGGTGGGGTGAGGAGTGGGATAAGAGAGGCAGCCTCGGACCTAGGCTGGTCCCATTGCTAGGAAGCAAAACAGGAAAAGGAAAGGCACGATGCTCTTCTTGTCCTTGCTGGCTGCAGTGAAACAGGAAGGCAAGTAGGAAGCTACTGTTTATACTCAGACCCCTGCCTCACATGAGGCTCCGGGCGAGGCGCCGCGTTCTTGTTTGTTGGCTTCGGTCCTCACACGGGCCCTGCAAAATGGAAAGGTGCCTCCTGCTGCTCAGGCAGGAGGGGAGGGTCCCCTCTCCTTGGCTCTCTCACCTCTCCTTGCCTCTGCCACTCCCTGTTCACCAGGACTTCCGCCTCGCTCCCGTCTGGGACACGCCCGTGGGGCTGGGGCTGGAGGGGCTGAGGGCTGTCTTCCCCTTAGTCTCAGCCAGCGTCCGCAGAGGGCCTACTGGGTGCCTGACGCCTAATGGTTACAGATGGTAGGGACAAATGGAGTCCGGAGATCCTCTGCGCCTCAGTCCTGGTTGTCCGAAAGATTACAGGCAGGTTAGGGAGAGTGGACACGCCAATAAAAAGGGAAGTGATAGGAGAATGTAGTTTGTGACCGGTGCCACACAAGGGACAACTGATTGAGTTCATCCCTTCATTCAAGAAACAGAGTCACCACCTGTTGTCACTTAGTCCTCCTAGATATGGAGATATGGAATTTTTTTAATGCGTATTTAGTTTTGAGAGAGGGAGACAGAGAGAGGCAGAGTGCAAGTAGGGGAGGAGCAGAGAGAGGGAGGGAGACACGGAATCCGAAGCAGGCTCCAGGCTCTGAGCTGTCAGCACAGAGCCCGACATAGGGCTCAACCTCACAAACGGCAAGATCGTGACCTGAGCCAAAGTTGGACAGTCAACCGGCAGCCACCCCGGCACCCCTAGACAGGTAATTTCTTTGAAAGAACACAGAAATCGGAAAAAGAAACAGAAACATTGATGAGCCCCATCTCTGTGCCAGGGTACCTTCCTAGGTGTTTTAGGGGGACGGACACAGAGATTTATTCATCGATTCAGCCGGTATTTATTGGGTTCCTGTCCTGTGCTGAGTACCGTTCTAGGTGCTGGGATAGTGAGAAGGAAACAAAACCAAGTTCCTGCCCTTGGAGCTTACCTCAGACGGTACCTGCCCATGCTATGCTTATAGGGCACAGAACTTCCAACTTGATTGGAGTCCAGAGGAGGGAGGGACAAGGGGCACTGGGCTGAGTCCCAGGAAGAGGGAGGATTCCAGCCGGACTTGGAAGAAAGGGTAGGATTTGGAAAAGTAGAATGTGAGGAGTGAGGGCAGTACCACCAGGGGGTCGTTGGGAGCCAAAGCTCAGAGGACAAAAGGTACGTGGGCTTGTAGCAGGACAGGAGCTGATGGCTGAGACAAAGCCTTGTGTTGGGACGTTGGAGACCACAAAAAGCCAGCTTAGCACCAGACTGTGGAGACCCCCACGTGCTAAGTGACCTTCACAGGTGTTCTCAGGGTTGCTGGCAGAGCCCCTCCCACATTCTCAGCTCAGAGTCAATCTACTCAGCGTAAGGGATGGGCCCTCGCGGTCTGCGTGAGGCTGAGGCGGCCAGCACCGCGTCCTGTGGCCTGCCTCAGGTTCCCTGAGGTCCCTCTTGCATCATCAGGGGAGTCAGCCCAGGAAGCCAGGACACCAGATGTGGGAGGACTGAGACCCTTCCTGGCAGGAGGGTGTTAGCATCAGAGGCCTAGACTCCACCAGACTGCGAATCTGGGTTCCCTGGGTGGATGCATGAACAAGGGGTGGGGACACGGAAGCCATGCATTGCCTGCTGCAGGGCACATCTGGGTGCACAGCCGTCCCCTCCGGTCTCTTAATATCCGAAGAGTTGCGGTGGGCACCTCCCTGCTTGTCTCCATCTCCCCCGGTCAGGGCATGTTAGAGCAGGTGCCCCTTAGCAACCTACCACGAGCCCCTCTTCCTTCGTCCACTGAGAAACTTCCATGAGGGCTGGTGACTTCCTGAAAGTCCATGGGAAAAGAGAGGTGGAGCAGTGGCCTGGGTGGGACCAGAAGCCATGCTCGCTGTCTCTGTTTCCTGGGTGGCTTTGGAGAGGTCCTTTCACCCGAGCCTCAGTTTCCACACTTGGGATAATGAAATAGTAATAACTACCTCCCAGGGCCTATAGGGGATTTCAGGGTGAAAGTGTTTTGCAGACATGCGTACACATGCGCCAGAGGTTTAAGGTAATGAGTAGTAATGGCTGAGTTGGGCCTGGAGACTATGTTCCCTGACTCCCCAGCTGGTGCTTTGTCCCAGTGCCTTCCAGTCCCCCTCAGCCTTGGGCCAGGAGGGAAAGTCATCCCCTGATGAGGGATGCCTAGCATTGGATGAGCGGAAGGAGGCTTCTCCAGAAAGGTTCCCCCCCCCTTGTGTGCTCTGTCCTAGGGCACCTGCTCTCACCCCTACCTGCTTCCCTTTCTCCAGGATAATCACCCTGCAGACACTCCACCTCTGAGAGTCCGCAGCTGCCCCATCCAGCCTGGTCCGGCTGGCGTTGTGGGCACACAACCTGGTCTGGTGGCTAGTTATAAATAGGTCCTGCACCCACAGCCTTGGGAAGGTACTCCTGGCCTCGGTGCAGAGGGCGCTTGAGAAGAGGCGGCTGAGCCTGCGGTTCTTACAGTGCCAGGCCCAGAGCTGGCCTGAGGGTGCCTGGAGGCAGGCCCCTGCAGATGGGCCCCAGGAGCTGAGGAAGCTGCCCTGCGAATAGGGCCGTGCAGGCTCAGGATGGCGGGGCAAGGCTAGCCGCAGGTTCAGGGCACTGCCTCTTTATCCTGTGGCCCGGGATAGAGTATCGGAGGGTGGCTGCTGAAAGAGCCCATGAGGCCCTCTAGGGCTGGTGGCTGAACAAAGGGGACCGTTTGCCCGCGGGCTAGCTGTTTTGAGTGCAGTTCATTAGGGGGCAGTCCGGCCAAATCTTCATTCCATCCGGGAAGAAGAGAAGGAGATGGCAGGGCCCAGAATGTTCCCCCATAGGGCTTGCAGCCCGTCACTGAATCCTCCCAGCACCCAGCCCCTGCTCTGGAGAGGCAACATATTTAGTGGAAAAGCGCCGTGCTTGGAGTCAGAAGGCTCGATTGGAGCGCTACCTCGATAGCCTAACCTTGTATGGTTACATGATCTCCTTTCTCATGGGACCGCGGTGAGGACTGAAGTGAGGAAAAGGCACCTGAGGGTGGCTTGCCCTTGTCAAGTGAGCCTGGAGGAGGCTGCTTAGGTCCTGACCTTCTCCCTCAAACTTCCCTGCCGACCCTGCCCTCTCTGTGTGCCCCCAGGCCGCCTCAGGCCCCCAGCGGACACGCCAGGCCCTCAGCCCCAGCCCATGGACCTGCGGGTGGGCCAGCGGCCCCCGGTGGAGCCCCCGCCAGAGCCGGCGCTGCTGGCCCTGCAGCACCCCCAGCACCTGCACCACCACCTGCTGTTCGCAGCAGGTCTGCCTCAGCGCTCAGCGGAACCCATGAGGGTAAAGTCAGAGCTCCCCGCACACGCGGTGGCCTCGAGCTCCGCCCCCAGCCCCCCTCCCTTCCTCCCGCCTCCCCCAGACCCTCGGCTCAGTCTTCAACTCCTTGCCCCTTCCTGGGCGGCCGGCCCTGCCCACAGCTCCCAATGGACACGCCGGTGCCCCAGTTGCAGGTGGGGCAGCAGGAGCAAGAGCTGCGGCAGCTTCTCAATAAGGACAAGAGCAAGCGAAGTAAGGACCGCACGCGGGCTGGGGTGGTTTTGCAGAGTGTGGGCGGGGCCTCGCAGAAGGGGTGGGGCCACGGGCTTGGC